ATCCAACTTTGCAACCCATTCAATAATCTGATAGCTACATTACCCACATAGCTCACATGATTTTTCTTTTGCCAGGTTACTGTGTTTCCCAAGAAGCCATTAGATGGAGCCCATGAGATACAAAGTTTTTCCCTTGGTCATACAGAGTGAGTGGCTTTTCATATCTCATCTGTTCTAGGATGGTGGACGACGTATATAGATAATGCAGAGCTTGCTGTTTCTTATGAATTTTGCAATTCTACATAAAACATGTTGATACTTAGGATTTAGGTGCCAATATATGGTAGTGGATTAACCTAACTGAATCTTGATTGGGTGGATTATGCATAACTACCTATTTGTTTAAGAAATCCTCTTGCTACTTAAATTTTACTTATCTTCACTTTCATGCATCTATTGGCAGGTTTGTTTCTTGCCTCGCTTTTGTTTGCACTCATGAATGCCCCCAGGGTTTCCTTGTCTCTGGAAGTGGTGATTCAACAGTAAGTAATCGTGATTCATAGCAACTCATGGCCTTTGAATTGCTGCAAGGTGCATCTTGTGTACTATAGAGCAATTAATGTGTGTTGATTTGGCAGGTTCGCCTATGGGATATTTCCTCAGGATCTCTCCTAGATACTTGTGATATCAGAGAAAAGGTACTTCAGTTGTTCTAAGTTTCCTGAAGTTCCCATTGACTTCTTTATTGTTTCCAAACGACTTTTCTGTTGGCGTGCTGTTTACTTGATTTCATTCTGAAGGCAGGACTTTTAGAATCTAAAGAAATAGAAGACAGGTATGCTGCTGTTACTGATTTATGCACCATCCCAGATAGCACCCTTGTTGCAGTGGCTGTCCAAAGGCAAGTTCCTATACATTGGATTTTCTGTCTCTTCTTTTGTACAGTGGTTCTCTGTTTATTCATCATCTTGATACTCGTTAAGTTATTCCATTGCAGTTTGCAAGGAATAATATTGTTAAGCTGTGATCTTTCTGCTCAAACACTCTATGTTGCCAAGGTAAGGACCTCAATTAGTCAATTAATATGAACAGTAAGAATGTAACCCTATCACAGGACACATTGACCTGTTATCAGGCATTTTTAATTGAATTTACTTTCCATGAATCTGTCTTCTTTGAACACATTTCGTCTTGCATGACATTTCTTGGAGCTAAATTGCTAATAATTTATCATGACGCAAACAAAGAGTGGCTATTAACAATTGTGTGATTGGACCAGGTGGTTTCTATCAAGGGAGATGCCTTTATACCTACAAGCTTGGGGACTAGCTTTTCCTCTGGATTATTGTGGATGGTAACTGGTGCCTCAAACTTGCATGATTCTCAACACCCTTGTTTGTCCCGTGTCAAGGTTATATCTGGCTTTAAGGAAAGCAGTCCTGATTTTGTTCAGCATGGACCAATTGTTTTGGAAGATGATGAGATCCCTAGGGGCGAGAAATTGCTCGAGAAGTTGCAAGGAAGAGTTTCCTTTGACAAAAATTATTTCTTGACAGCAGCTGAGGCTTTGAAAACATCCATGAGCAATTTGCTAATAAAAAAGCAGTACTCTACGGAGAAACGAGAATTTAGAAAGAGAGGCAGAAATGACAAGAAAATCAAAAAGTGATGTGATTCCAGCAATGGCAAAAGGCCTACTGTGAACTTTGTGTAACCCTAGTGATTTTTTATTTTTTATTTTCTTTCAAATATTTGTAACAAAATTGTTGTATTATTTTTGGGATATTAGAAAACTGTACCTTCGCAACTTGCAATCAATTTTTGAGTAGGCCTGGCTGTATTCAACAGATTGCTTTTAACTACAATGTCTGTTTCTTTCTGAGACACGAGTTGATTTGCACTGAACAGTTTTGGTAGGGCTTCTAGCCTTAAATTGTGTCTGCAGTAGAGTGGATCCTATGTGGTACAGCCTACCAAGCTATGGACCAACTGCTAGATAAATTCCTTTGTTGTTAATGTTATTAAATTCCAGACCAGCAAGAAAATGAAGGTGAGGATCATGGCTATGGCTTTATTTCCTTGGTTAGGATTATGTCTTAATATTATAAACCAGATTCCACCTAACCTGACTAAACATGTTTTGGATGTTGGTCATAGAAGGAAAACAATCAACGTGAAACCGTTTACCATGCAAAAGATGTCGTTTTTTTCTTTTATCGGAGGACAGCGAATCGAACTTTTGAAACTGTTCTAACATTGTGGAAGAGGAGTATCACTAGATTAAACCATATAAAGGAGATCAATTATTCGGGTTAGTGATTATCTTTTAGGAAATAGTCTCTTTATCCTTGATGGTTTACTAAAGTGGATAGCTAATTTGGGATTGTCTACTTCTTCTACGCACCAGATATTTTGAACATTTTATTATAATTATCATATTGGGTCCATCTTAATAAACCCCCAAGCAAGCACCTCAAGTAATTACTTTGATCCTAATTCAGAAGGTTGATTAATTATCTTAATGAAAATTGATTATCTCCTAATGCATTACGCCACTAAAACAAACTTGGTCCCCATCCTTCCACCTTCATGGCTCTCTTTCAATTCTCTCCTTCCACATGGCAATGGCACATCATCACGCAAACAAAAGGATCATATAATATTAATCATGTCTTAGTAAATTAATTTACTTAATAATATACTTAATCCAAGAGCCCCATTTTCAACTCTTCTTTTGTATTATATATTTTTTACGTCTTTTCTATGAATGAAAACAATTCAATGCCTTAAGAAAACTGAGAAGAGGCCAAGAGCCTTATTTAGTGCCTCAGTCAATAAACCAATTATGCATCTCTCTCTCTCTCTCTCTCTCTCATTACAATTTTTTGCAGCAAAAAAATTATTGACTGACAAACATCATCTTGTTTGAAATCATGTAATGGCACTTGGTTTGGCATGATGATATTGACTTCAACATGTTTGATAGCATTTGTGGGGTCGTTTCTGTGTTAACTCCATCGATGAAGACGTCTGGAGTGGTTCGTTATCCATCCCCGAATTGGACGATGCTGAGCGTGTGGGTCAGATCACTATTAGGAGCTCTATATTTCCCCCACCTACTTCTTCTACATCAATCATGGAGAGCACTAATTAGGTTATAGTAAGTGAAATCTTGATCATGCTATAGTTGAAATATTTTGTTGTTCATCGTCGATCTGATTCATTAGTTATGCATAAAGTTCATTTGAAAGTGTAATGCAAGGAGTTGTACTAACATCAGTTGTATGTGATAGTTGATCAATATAAGACTTCTTATAAGACTCACAATCGATAATAACTGTAAAAATATCACGCGTCCACACGCGACTGACACTAACACTCTTCGTAATCTAATTGTTCTCAAGTTCAATTTCACGGACAACGGTCATCAATTCAAAAAGTTATATGAGCAGTTTCTCTACGATGATATTAATTAACAGTCATTAGTGGATATTACCTCGCGGATAAAGATCATAAACATCTGTTATTGAATAAGCTAGGGAAACAAACTTCATGAACAGCCTCTGCTTTATTGTGGATTAGACAGAGGCTGTTTTTTTTTTTTGCCATGATTAGAACCTAGATATAGGTTCTTAATAAAAGCCAAATGTCTAATCCAATGTACCATCAAAATAATTATATGATTTTGTTTCCCATAATCACATTTGTTTCTCAGTTAAACTTATATATGATCACTTCTCCTTCCGAGTTTAGAAGTACAAAGTGCAGTATTGTAGAGGCCGTGGAGCCCACATTTGACCACAACCTAAAAAATTGGGCCCAGGAGTTGGGTCAAGGTTGCAAAGCAAAATGGATAGGGCCCACGATCGGCATCGGGATGATGTCTGAGTGGAGTTAAAAAGAGGGCCCCACCAGTTTACGTAACCAACGGCAAACGATTTCTGGGGGGGTGGGGGCGATGGTGTAGTGTACGTCTCTGGTAGTACATTAAACCCTGTGAGTGAAAGAATCAAAAAAATTTCGCTACCCGTTACTTTCAGTGGGCCCCGCAGGCCCCACCCAAAGCCACGCCAGTTGTTTTATTCTGGCCCTACTAATCACTTATTCGAGAGCTAACAAACAAGCAAGCCCCACACTCAATTGGACCAATCCAAGCTTCCACCACACCCCTAAAATTGACACATCATTTTCTTTTTAACTATAGACAAAATTGGTTAAATTATATTTTAATCCTTATCCGAAGGAGGGATAATCTTGTAAGATAATATTATTCAATTTTGAAGTGCATAGACTAAAATAAGAGTGTCAAAATCGCTACCCTAAACAACAGGCGGTGAGGTCTTTACAAAACTTTATTATTTATTATCATAGTAATTAAACTTGAGGTCCCAAAGCTAAATAACAAAAATAACATATAACTAACAACAATTAATTTGGTAATGGCTTTTTTTTAGTATAAGCGATTAGAAGAGGGGGTTGATAGAAATATTCATTGAGTGTATGGGGATTTCGAATCTCTACCAACATAAATGAAGATGTAAGAACTCAACCAACTGAGCTATACCCCACCTTCAAATTATGCATTTTACACTAACCCAAAAGTTGAAAATCTGCTAGGTTTCTGTTACGCGCAAAAACTATTAGTTTTAACTCCACCATAATCCACGTGAGAGATTAAAAGATGGTATGATTTTTTTACCAAAAACAGTAAATAAAAAATAATAATTAGTGCATAGTGATTAGTGGATTAAAAAAAAAGAATGAGAATCGTTAGGGTGAGCGAAGCATTTCCTATGAGTGCGTGCGTTTTATTTCTCGCACTAAGTCCAAGTGAATCACGACAAAATACAAAATAAAAAATAAAATGAAAAAACCCAACTGAGAGAGAAGGCTCTTCAAAGAAAGACAAAATATAATCCGTTCAGAAAGAGAGTATATTATTTTATCTAGCATGAGAAAAATACAAAAGATTATTTATTATTAAATGGAAATATTAATTTATGGGTTCTGAGGCTGTGGGTCTGTGTGGTCAAAACCACCAATTCTCATGCAAACAAAAACACGCCTCCCTCATTTGTTTTCTCACTCCTTAAAAGGCACATCCAAACCTAACTCTTTTTCTTCCCTTCAAAACCGAGGGCCTATTCTTTCTCATCTTTCACTTTCTCTGTTTGCCAAGTTGCAAATTCATTTTTACAGGATTGAAACTGAATACAAAACCCACTACCAGAAAAGTGAAATTTTAGAGAGAGAGAGAGGCCAAGAAAAGGAGAGGAGCTGAGCTTTATATTTCATTTCATTTCTTTTTTCTTTCATATTTACTTGATGGTGATGATGGCTCTTTTGTCATGGGAAGTGGCAAAGCATTTATGCCAATTCTGCCTGAGACAGCAGAGGATATAGATAGAGGGTTGCTCTCTATATGTCTGCCTTGATCACATGGCATGCATGCGGTTTGCTATGAATCTTGGTGGGAAATTGAGTCTTAATACGTTGCAGTACTTGAAAGAAACAGGAGGAAGTGAGGTTACCAAGTTGCTTGTTTTTTAGCATTCGGGCATGGAGGCTACAGAGATTTAGGAAGGCCTTTCAGTCTCAGACTCTGTTTTTCTCTTCCTTTTTCCTTTTTATTATATTATTTCTCTTTTAGTTTTATGGTTGTAGAGCCATGCATTCGTTTGCTGGTTGAAGAAAAAGAGAGCCTTTAATTTAGTCTACTTTTGGAACTCAAAAGGTGATTCTTGAGACCATCACTTGAAGCAATTCATAGTGGTTTCTTGGTGGGATTTTTCTGATCATTTTGAGTAAGTTCTCCAATATCCTTTCTTTGTTATTATTATCTCTGCTTTACTCTATTTTTATAATCTCTCTCATGGCAATCTTGGATTAATTTCTCTCTCCCTCTCTCTCCTCTTTGGCAGTGATCAATTTTTTGACTTTTTGGGGGCTTAGAATCATTTGGTTAGAGCAAGTTATGCTGAGGAATAGATCTAGAGCAGTGACCAGCAAGCAAGCTTTAATGGCTGACCACAGCTCCCAATCATCTCCAACTCAAAAAAACTACACCAAAGCCCCATCTTTCTTTGGTTCTCCAAGATTCAGAGCTTTCACAATAAAGGGTCATTCTGAAACTGATTCTCTGATAAGCCCGACTTCAATTCTTGACAGCAAGCCATTTCCTTTTGCAACCCCATTTTCATATGATCAAAACCAACCCAAAACCCCAAAAGTAGTATCAGCAAACAAAAGCTCCTGGCACCAACCAGAGCCCAAAGGCATTGGCCTTGCTCTGCTTGAGACACTCAATGATGAAAAGCTTGAAGACAATGCTTCTAAACCCAACAGCGGGAAGGTCCTGTTTGGAACTAAGCTTAGAGTTCAAATCCCTCCCTTTCCAGCCTCTGCTCTTTCTCCAACTCAGTCTCCGAAATCTCCAGCTGATTTCAAGATCAAGACTCGGAATTCCCAATCATCAGCAATTGGGTCTGCTAACTCTGGCATCCAAACAGAGCATTCAAATTCTGCTCAGGCTCCCACAGGGTGTGCCTCTGTGAGTGAAATGGAGCTTTCTGAAGATTATACATGTGTGATATCTCGGGGACCAAATCCAAGAACAACCCACATATTTGATAACTGCATTGTAGAAAGCTTCTATAGCTTATCGGATCAGTCCAGCTCTGCCTCGGTGAGTTTCCTTAGCTTCTGTTACACATGCAAGAAGAACCTTGAGCAGAAAAACGACATCTACATTTACGGGTTTGTTTCAATGACCCTTTGTTTTTGTTTTCAAATGAAATTATGAAATGATATATTTTTCATGTTCTATGGAAGATGAACATATTGGATTTGCATTTGATTTGTCATGCAGAGGTGAGAAAGCTTTCTGCAGTCGTGAATGCCGCTACCAAGAAATGCTCTTAGATGAAGTTGGGAACTCGGAGTTTGATGATGCTATAAGGACTTGTTCTTGAGTTCTCTCTGTTTTCCCATTGATGATTTTTGGAGACCAGAAAACTGGTAGATCTCAAATTTTATCTTGTCTTTGGCTTTTAAAGTTTTTCCCTCTCCCCTCCCCTGCAGATAAAAGATAAAGAGAGGAGGAGATATTCTAGTTCGTTGCTGTAGAGTTTATTTTATTTATTTAAAGACTTATTTCATTGCCTGAGGTTCTTGTCTTCCCACTGTTTTTTTTCCTTCTTCTTCTTCTTCTTCTTTTGTTTTTTTGGGTGTAATTTCAGACTGTGATGATGTATGACTCGAAAGCTGCCCAACTTTTGTGTTTTTCTTATCATTCATACAAAGGGGACCGATAATTCATTTCATTCATGCACACGACATATAAACATATCTGAGTAATTATCAAGTGGTGACAGTAGGATAAGATAAACGAAAGAAAAAAATAATAATTTAAAAAAAAGGGTAAGGATCCAAACTTGAATTCCTTTTCAAGACCTATTCCAGATGACCCAGATAATTAAATACTTGGAAGTTGTTAGGAAACTATGATAAGATAAACGAAAATCTTACTTGCCAAACTGCTTGCAGCATCATTTCAAATCGAACCCTTCCCCTGTTAAACTATAAAGGGAAGGAAGAAAAGCTTGAAATGAGAAAAGGCTGATGATGAAATCAAGTGACCAAGAAGCCAAGCGGCCCTGTTTCTGGTGTTGCTGAGGAGGGAAGGGGTAAAGGACTTAGCTAAAGGCTGCGTAAAGGGATCCAACAAAAAGAAGTACTGGGCTAAAAGTCTGTCAAATGTTACTTTTGATGCAAGTATTAATGAATTCATTCACCGCCATTTATCAGCCAGTTTCTCCTACGTTCACGCCTCTGCGTTTAGCAGAGCACAAAGTTGGAATTTTCCCAATAACAGAGTAGCAATGATTGAAGGGACCAAAAAGAAAATACAGTTGCAGTCATAAACTCAAGCAAATTTAATACAAGACTATCATTAGTTAATGACACTTGCGTGGAACGGGTTGCTATCCCTGGTCAAACATGATACAGCATCCGTGATAACTTTATACTCTACATATTATGATTGACCGAGAAAATAAAACAATGTTATTCACGTTTTGTGCTCCTCATATGAGGACAAATCAACCATGAAAAACCCACTTGTTCATTGATATTGAATTTGCTAATCCTTTGTTCACTGAAATATGGAATACGTTAGGCAACTTCTTGGGAGTTTCCCATTCCATTAGGAATTATCTGCATCTTTTTTGGCCTTTCTTAATCTCAAAGCTTTCTCAGCAGGGTGACTAGACCTGAGAATTCTCCTCGAGATGCATTGGAGAATAAGTGTCAAGTTTCAAATCCAACTAATAAAAAGTATACACCGAGATTTCCCAACATCACCATCTTGCAGATTAAATCCATGAAACGACCCAATACCTCAATATCAATAAAACAAAACATCGCACCATGATAATTAAATGGATAACATAATATATAACTTACATAGAATTAAAGATGATGATAGATAAACACTACCATCCAAGTTCAGATAGACGATACCAAACAGACTTTAACACTGAAATTTAAATAGACAATAAAACAAGGAGACCAGATATTTGTTCGACACAACATATTGACTCCATTGATCCTGGTACACAAGACAAAGCAAGCAGCCTCCCACGGACATCATGCATTCTTAGACACAGGTGACCATATACTGGAATTGCATTTGCCTCGTCCAAGGAACTATTACAGATAAAAGGACTCAGATTATCAACCGCTAAAGAAACCACCGCCTGAATAATTTTCCAACTCGCACCCTGCTTCAAACATATTAAGAAGAAATCAGTCACCACTGAATCAAACTATACAAGAGTATATAGTATAACAATAAGGTGGAACAGTAAACCAGATTTATTACCTTGTTGAAGGCCAGGCGAGATCAACAATCTCCAAGGATGAAAATGATGTGAGGACCGCAATCGGCAACATTCATTTGCAATAACAAGGAATTAATGGGTAATTCCAACTCAAGACATGAAACAGAACAGAGAAACACAGATTGACCAACCCTATGAACTGAAGATGCAACAAAGCAGAAGTAGGAAAGAACAACAATCACTGCCCCTTCCCTCTTTTCTTTCTTAAAAACCAGAAAAGATGGTGAAGGGGGGAGAGCACCCTTGATAAGAGTGTAGTTAAAGGGGTCAGATTGTCATTAGAAGTAAAGAGAGTTATGTTTAGAGTATGAAGGCAAATCGGGCCATAACAGACCAAGCAAGAGATTTCAATGAAAGAAGATTTAAGGCAGCCAATAGGAACAACATTTAACTAAGGAAAAAAGAGACTAACCAGTGTTAAGACTATTTATAAGGACACTAAATCTAAATGCAAGAAAACGAAGATGCAAAGATGAAGAAGAAACCTGCAGAAACCTAAAGAATTCTGTATGGATAGACCACTTGACTTTCTAAAGCATATACAACCGTAACTGGAACTAGAGACCTAAACCTAATTCTACAGGGATAACGAAAATTAGCAAATATGTCAGGAGATTACATTGAAAAGTTAAAGTCAGAACTTCAATATTCAAGTATAATGTAGTTTCCCTCGGCTTCCATAAAGAGTAGCCAGTTACTCAATCCCATGCCAGAATGTAGGCAACCATCCACTTCGAAAGTACAAGCCTACAACTTTTTCCCTTCTGCTTCCGTAAAATTTTGGGTCAGTTCCATCCATGTCATAAGTCTCGCAGTATAGATACCACGCCCGTTTTTCCAAACAAGCATTCATCTCTCAGACCAACTTCACATCCAACATCCAGAGATCGTTGACCCACCACAACCAAGACTGTCGATTGTAGCACCACCACAGAAAACTAAACACACTCATCACAACCCCGGACTACCAACCAATTTATTCACTCTATATACAATCTAAACTTATTTACAGGAGCCTACTGCTCCCCTGCTCTTCATTCATCGTCAACATCAAGATTCAGAATGCGACGCAGAGTCCTGGTCGCAGAGTCAGCATTATGAAAGAGGTCTCTTGCAGAAGAGCTATGCTCCCTAGTTGGGGATGCAGGTGCAGACTTGGCAATTGGGTGAGTTGGGTGCATTTCCATATCAGAAGCTGAGCTTGGCAATTCAAGCGACACGGTTCTCTTGGGTCGGATTGAAAACTTGGGTATTGGCAGAGAGCTAGGTGGGGGAGAGTTGGAGTAAGCAGGGCCAGCCCAGAGCTCAGAAAATGAAAAACTTCCATTAAAAGGCTTTTCTTTCTTCGAGCTTTTGACATTGATAGCAATTGGGGTGCTTTTACCAAGCGTTTTACTATCAGACTGTGAACCTACACTAGGGGTAGGTGTCTTGTTTGGACTAGGTGTAGTTATCTTAGAAGAAGAAGAGCATGCTCGTTTAGACACAGGAGTAGAGCAATTCTTCGATGGGGTAGGGAGTATACCTGTGCCGGATTGGAAAGTCCGGCAATTGATCGCTCTGAAGTCCTTCGAAGGTGACGGGCCATATCGGGCAGGCCCGTGTGGCTTGACCCGGTTGTAGTACTGGTTCTTAGGCTCCGCCACAACAAGAAGAGTTTCCATTATGAAAAATTCACTGAGTCAACGAGTATAACTCGGTCGAGTTAGAACGATTCTGAGAGCAACCGACTAGATCTACAGCTATAACTCAATTGCAGGGCTCAAACTGTATGCTAAAAGATTGCAACTTTAGGGAATTGCACGAAAACACTTCACTCCACTTCTAGATCTTCTCCACAACAGATCCAAATCGAACATGGACAACAGGATCCACAAAAGAACAGAGCAATCAACTACAGAGCCACCGAATCGAAGACCCCAGAACCGAATCAGATTCAGATCAGCCAAAATCCTCTTTATCACTGTAAATTACAAAATAAAAAAAGAAAATTAGTTTCAGCAACGGATTAAAAATCATTTTACCAAACCCACCAAAAAATGAAACTTTCCATAACCTGAATCTAACTACCACGACCATTTTCTCGAGAAAGTGAGAGAAAATTACCAATAAGGAGGAGAACACTGTCAGTAAAGTCACAACAGAGAGGTATATGGAGATGACTTAAGATCAGAGAGAGTTAGATTCCTCTCTTTCTTTCTTCTTCTTCTTCTTGAGGTCTGATATTTTTGGGATCAAAATGAAAATGGAGATTGGGAAATTGAACCCCGGAGAGAAATGAACAAGAGAAAAGAAAACACGAATCTGAAATGACTGTCTACAGTTGTATATAGAAAAACCTATAGAGCCTACGGGTACTACTGGTGTACTGCGCACTGCATCCTCCCTCAATACTGTATAATGTATCATGGTTACACAAGTGGGCTTCATTTTGACTGGATTTACAAGAATGGCATTTCATCATCCGTCTAGTCTAGTCCCTAGACAAAGAGTCAGTTGACTCCTTTGCCCTTACGCCATTAGAGTTAAAAATAGGAATATGCATAGTATTGTTTGTACCAAATTTGGATTATATATTGACGTGATGTCTAAGTGGCTAATTTCAAGGCAAATAAATAATCATCTGCGAGATAAATCAAGAAGAAATTTGGGTGTTATTTCATGGCTTCAAATATGGAACAGAAGAAATTATTTGTTAGCATAAGTGGATTTTGTGATAGATATCAGACTCGTAGTGAAATTAGATAGCTTAAAGCACTCAAAGTTGGTTTGCTATATGGATATAGAAATATATTCAAAGATAAATGGGATTATAATTATCTCATGCATAAAAATGCAAATTATGCAGCTGAAGTTATACCAAATTAGGTTTGACGGTAAAGATGGATCCGTGTTGGTTTGCTATATGAATATAGAAATATATTTGAAAAGAAAAACTGGGATTTAATTATCTCATATGCATAAAAATGTAAATTATATGCATTTGAAGTCACACCAAATTAGGGTTGATGATATAGATTGATTATGTGTTTGAAAATTCCCTTGCTTGTCTCTCAGCTTAAGTACAAGTTCACTTGGATCACGTTGATGAGTTCGATCATATATGAGAAGCACAACTGTGAACTTTGTCCCCATCTAACCCTAAAAGTTTAATTATTAACCTCCTTAAACGTATTGCAAACAATGTAGAAAATATCATACTTTCATAGAACAATTAGTAATACCATTGAAATGTAAAATTACATGATTCATCCTTATAGTTATG